GGGGTGTTGGCCGGTGAAACCTTATGTGAATCAGGTGTCCTTAGGGTTTCTTGTAAGCACACCGAGGTAAAGGGGATGAGTAGCCTGGGGAGAGAGCACTGGGAGATTTTAGGGGTAGGGTAGACAGTGCGCCCTGGGCACAGTGAGCATCTGGGGTGGTGAGAAGGGGGGGCCTTTTTTCTTCCTTTCTCCTGGGAGGGTGTGCAGCCCTTTTCCCTGTTCGGTAGCTCAGTGCAGAGGCTACCAGAGGCATTTCTGTTGGGCCAGCCTGCCTGTGGCCCGGAGGGGAGGGGGCGGCTGCAGGTCAGAGGGCTGCTTCTCCCAGAGACCTTCAGCCTGCCCACTGCCACACCTCCCTGGCCACCCTGGGAATGGCCCGTCTGTGCCCCTTGGCCCTGCTCACCAACCGGGTCCCCTGTGACCTGCCCCAGGCTAATGACTGGCAGTACTCTAGCTTGTTAGAATGCACTGGGCTTCGTTCTTCTGTGTAGGCATTAAAGCGTGACTCCCATTCCAGGACAAACGGACCTACAATTCCTGGTGTGGTGAGAAAGTGCGATTCGCTGTTCTGAATTTGAAAAGCAAGGCAGTAAGCGTGGGCCCTGACTCTCTTCACCGGCGACAGAAGGATGGAAGGCTTAAATTCTGCGGATAGAAAGAGGGTCCTTCCCACCTGGATGACAGCCCAGGTGCCTGAGAAGAGAGTGGTGCCAGTGAAGACCCCAAAGAGCGGAATGGCAGCGGGGCCGGCGGCTGCAGCAAGGTGGGACAGCTTCGGGCCCCGGTCCTCCTGGGGAATCAGGAGGAGGGGAGGCACTTGGGGGCATCACAGTTGCTGGCGCTGGGTCCTCCAGTGTTGGTAGAATCGGTGAGGTGGGCGGTCATTACAGTCCATGTCTTTTCAGCTCTTTTGAGGTACACAGGCTACATGCAAGAGGCTGAGTGACCTGTATCCACAGACAGACGCCCCTGCCTCTTGGTGAATCTCCACTGTCAGGCCCCCCAACTCCCAGATAGTGGCTCCCCTTCTCGGAGTTGCACACATCAGCCAAGCTGTCAAGCACCACTTGTCTAAAATGCCCCTCTCTTCATTTGCAACAATTATGACCCTCAGGTGGGCAGGATGAGTGGACCAGGTCGTCCAGTCTTCCTTTGGGCAGATCTCCTGGGACAGAGGGAGCAGCAAGCCACTGGGCTGGCATGAAATCAGGGCTGTAGGGTGGGCTAGTTGAATGACGGCAACTGGGGGGTCTTCAGGCTGCCAGGAAGGGGATGTCCCTGAACTCTGATGGGGTACCAGGTGCTCACTGCTACCCCTCTGGCTCTTCCTTTCCTAAGGTTTCTTGCCTGACCAGCCTCCCTCTGATGGTCACAGCCCTTCCACGCTGTGTTCATGAATTCAGCTCGGTGTCAGGCAGGTCTTGGCCTGGTGGTCCATTTGTCCTGCTCACATCTAGTGTGTATATGTCAGTTTGGTTCTCAGGAGTGGCCATCAGGTCCTATTTCTAGATCCCTAGGGTAGCTGGCAGAGGTGGGAAGCCCCCACTATTGCTTCCATGACCCCCCTCTGCCAGTCACTGTTCCCAAGAATGAGGAAGTCTGCTGCTCTCATCCCGGGGGGAAGGTTCAGGGGTGCAGCTCTTGCTCTCCTTCCTCCTCGTGAGACTGGAGAGCCACCTGTCCCCATCTGCAGGGTTGTGCCTTTCTTGCAGACTGCCCGCAGTGAAGACCGTGTACTGCATGAATGAAGCCGAACTCGTCGATGTTGCCCTGGGGGTCCTGACTGAGGTAAAGTCAGCCATGTCTGTTCCTACTCTGACCTCAAACTCTTTATGGGCTGAAGCTAGACTCGGCCCTTGGTTAATGTCAGTAGAACAGACGCCCTCTCAGTCCATGTCTATCACCTGCCCCTTGTCTCAGGAATCTCTCAGGTCACACCCCCCTTGGCCTCCCTGCCCTGGGAGCTGTGCACCAACCAAGCATTTTGGTCTGGATATCTGGGGAGGGTTGTGTGAGTGAGGGCAGCCCTCTGTGTGGGGTGACACTGCTGGGGTGGATGCAGAGGGGACAGGAAGTCTTTAACTGTGAGTGTTCTCTGAAGGGTCTCAGTCAGGTGAGATGACTTCTGGCCTCTGCACTTCTTAGCAGAGCAGTGCTGAGGCCTCCTGGCTTCCTGAAGCAAATAATAATTATATCACCTTAGAGGTGATATAATTGACCAGGTGTTTTTTTTTAAATTGTTCCCTGAGGATATTTTTTTCCATTGCTTTTCAGAGAGAGTAGAGGGGGAGGGGGGGGAGAGAGAGAAACGTAGATATGAGAAAGACATCGATTGGTTGTCTCCCCACATACCCTGACCGGAGCCGGGGATTGAGCCTGCAGCCGAGGTACATGCCCTTGGCTGGAATCGAGCCCTGGACCCTTCGGTCCGCAGCCCGACGCTCTAACCACTGAGCCAAACTGGCTAGGGCAACCAGGTATTTTTATATATCATTACCTCATTTGAGCCTTGCAATAACCTGGTGATAGTTATTTCAGATACTGTTATTCCCATTTTCCAGATGAAGACATTGAGGCGCAGGGACTTTCCCTTAATCGCATAGCCCGTAAGGGACAGAGCATAGGCCTGCACTCGGGGGTTTTATATCCTGTGCTTCTTCCATTGTCACCCTGTGTTCCTAAACATGTGTTTTTCTATGTATTTCTTTTTCTCTTGTACTCAGATATTCCTCAGACCCCTGCCCCCTTCTCTCCCAGTGGGTCTTGGTTTCTTCCAGAGCTGTGGGGAGGTGGTGGGTAGGACAGCAGTGGGGTGAAGGAGCTGGAGAGGCCATTGACTTGGGACCAGTGCCCGACCTAGTCACACGCTGGCTTCGCAGTTGCCTCTGGGCATGGTCTCCACACCTGATGGGCAAACCACGTTAGGAAAATAAATGACCTGTTTTGTCTGCTGTTTCTCCCACTTCAGTGCCCCAAACAGGAAAAGGACTTGGAGCAGACACCCCTGGCAGGCGCTGATAAGGAAGAGCTGTCCCCAGCCTGCTCCGACTGGGAGTGGCCGAGTTCTCCCGAGAGAAGTGAGGATGCCAGTGGGGAAGGGTCCCCCCCCGCAGGCCTCGGGCCTCCTCCAGGGACTGCAGGCTCGGACTGTGCCAGCAGCAGGAGCCCCGAGAAAGACAAGGGTGCAGATGCGTTCAGGTATGTCAGAGAGATTTTCTTCAGCTGAGGGACAGCTTCCCAGGACATTCCCAGAGCAGCTAAGGAAGCGGGCCTTGGCTCTCGGCCAGGGGCCACTCTCAGCTCGACGCCCTTCCACCTGGAGCAGCAGCCCAGGAAGTGGGGATCAGAATGAGCTGCCATTAGACTTCCTCCCTGCACTGTGTCTGCCCCCAGCTCAGAGGTCTGCAGCCGCCCTGTCTTTGTGTTGTTACCAGGCTCCAGGGAACATGAGGCCCTGCTGGTCAGACTTACTGGCACCAAGGAGTCAACTTAATACTTTTCAAACAGAAAGAGCATGGCTGCTAAATACACTGGAATTGTCCAGTTTGGGCAGTTACCCTCTCTGCCCGAGGAAGAAGCCTAACAAAGGGCGTTTCCTGCACAAGGCAGCCAGTCAACCCCTGAGCCTCCCTCATCGGCCCTGCAGACACATTCTGCCCAGTGCTCTGCTCTGTCTAGGAGTTTGGGGCTCCCGGGGTGCCTTTGGTACAAGCTGCCTATCCATCAGGCCTCCCCCAAGCTTCCTCCTGTCTACTTCGCGGCCTTGGCCCGTGACCACTCTTCAAGTGAGAGAACAGGACCCCAAGGTGGATGCTAAGAACGAGGTCACAAGCAGAGTCCATATTGCCTCTGTATTCATTGTGGCCTTGGATACGCATAGAATGTGACAACCATTTGCTATACAGGTTTTCCAGTTTACAGGTGCTGAAAAATACATAAAATTCCCCATGCCCAAGTTGCACTTGTATCCTCCCTAGGTCTAGTTTGAGCAGTGAAGGGATGCGGCGTTTGTGGAACCATTCAGGCCTGTTCACCTTCCTCCCTGCCCAGGGCGTGTTCTGCTCCCAACCTCCCAGGCCCCACGTTAGGCGTCAGGTGCCAGCTCACACCCCTGCGCCGACTGGCTCCAGGTCCAGCCACCTTCTCAGCTGCCTTCAGTGACTCCCTCTGAGATCGCTCCTGCGCCTTGGGGAGTGGTGTCATGGGGAAGGCAGGAAGGAGGGGAGAGCTTGCTAGTCAGGGCCCTAGACACACCCGGGTGCTGTTTCCCCATTTGTCACCATGAACCTTCCCTGGGTCTCAGTTTGCCTTTGGCTGATCATCCTGGAAATCGCCCTGTGACAGGAACCCTTCTGTCTCCACCATCCTTCGAAGTAAGAATGGCTTGCTCAGATCAGTTAATTTAAGTGGGAATTCTCATGACAATGAGCTATGTGGTGTTAGTCTCAAAGGATAGACAGGCCAACACCAGGAAGCCACAGGTGCCGCGGCCTCCTTGACACCGGGTGTCCCCTCGGTGGGTGCCGTCTGCTAGCGCTTGAGGTCAGCATTAGCTGTGAAACGGTGGCTAAGGAAACACCAACCCGTGACTCCTCCGGTACCGCCTCAGCTTTGTTCAGGCTGAGCCCTGGCAGTCGTGAGCCTCGGTCGGGACTAGCAGCTCTCAGGCTGGCGCTTGCGCTCTTCTGCCCTCTGAGGAAACACAGCGGTGGCTATGAGCAAGAGGATTAGCAAGGCCTGGGCAGCACCCAGAGCCAGAAACCCGGGCCCCAGCAGAGAGAGCGTGATCCACTTCCAGGTGTAGCTGAGGAACAGGCCCAGGCCGCCGGCCAGCAGCATAGACGCGGCCGCCAGGAAGCTCACCGCCAGGTGCCACTCTCCCTCGCTGCTGTTGCAGTGGGCCAGGAGGAGCGGTAGGGGGACAAAGACGGTGAGGACCAGGGCGCCGTACACACACAACCTGGCCAGGGCCAGGCCGAGCCGAGGCAGCCCCAGGGCCTCCAGCTCAGGGAACTGGTGGCACTGCAGGGAGCCGGCGCTCTCATTCCACAGGCAGAAGTTGTAGAAGCCGATTCTCAGGTTAGGCACGTCCACGAGGTTGCCGGCCTTCCAGAGGAGAGCGTAGAACAGCAGGGACATGGCCACAGCCACGAGGAGCATGATTCCGAGGAACAGCAGCTGCTTGCCCCACCTTGGCCTGGGGAGGGTCATCTCTCACTCGGCGGCGCTGCCCTTCTGGGGACCTGAGGGAAGTCATACCAGTGAGTGTCCAGCTCTCCCTGTCAGTTTCTTCACAAGCTCATGCTGTCCCTTCTGGAATTGCATACAAACCTGTGGCAAACTCCCATGCTCTCCCACTCCCCGCCCCAAAGGAATCTGGGTAACCTATTGCCAGGCCCCAGGCCCCAGCCGTCTCTGGCTGAGTTCAGGACGGGCTCTCCCAGGCAGCTCTGAGTGCCTCCAACATGCAGCTTACACACCACGTGCCACTGGAGACATCTATGAGGGGTTTCTCAGATCTTATTGAGGGCGGGCTTGCCCAGGGTAAGGGACAAGGTTGTTACTGGGGTCCTGAAGGAAGAGGCAGATGCTGAGGGCCCTGGGAACCCATGAGACCACCTGGGAACTGTAAAGATCACCATCGCTCAGCCACAAGTCAGTCAAACCAGAACTGGGGTTGGGGTTGGGGCTGGGTGCTGGGGTGTTCTAGCAGCTCGTTCTAAGGTGAGCAGGGTTGAGGACCACTGCTAGGCTGCCAGAGTTTACCTGCCTCTGGGAACCCATTACTGGGCTGAGATGCTGCCTCGTGATGAAATCACATCATTACTTTCAAAACGACTATAGTATTTCCCCCCCCGACAAGTTATATATGTTGATTATTAAAAAATCTTGAAAAATATTTTTTATAAGAAAAAAATATATAAAAACCACCTTTTCCCCACTATGTACATAGAACCACTGTTAATATACCAATATTCATGCTGAGGTATTTTCAAATATTCATGCCATGAAACATAATGCTTTTCTCACTGAATATTGTGAACATTTTTTCAAAGCTGTTAAATATTCTTCAAAACATGGTCAATGGTTGCGTAGTAGTTCATGTCAGAGATTTACCCAGTACACTCTCATTGGACAAATGGTTCCCAGTTTTCACTACTGTAATTGATAGTCGGAAAGTGCTATGTCCCAGTGCAATTACCTGGCCAAAGGGAGAGACACTTTAGTGATTTATTGCATAGTGCCAAATTTATCTACAGAAAATTTGCTAATTGTAGTATACAGTATACACCTTCCTCACTATTTTTGAAAAATCTTTTCACTACATTAAAAAAAACATTTTTAGCCCAGCCGGCCGTGGCTCAGCGGTTGAGCATCGACCTAGGATCCAGGCGATCGGGGTTTGATTCCCTGTATGCCCGGGCTGTGGGCTCGATCAATGACTCTTATCATTGATGTTTCTATCTCTCTCTCCCTCTCTTTTCTTCTGAAATCGATATATTTAAAAATAAAAATAAAACTTTTATTGACTTTTAGAGAGGAAGGGAGGGGGAGAGAGAAACATTGATTGGCTGCCTCCTGCATGCCCCCCACCAGGGATTGAGGCCACGAACCAGGCATGTGCTCTGACCAGAAATTAAACTGGCAGCCCCTCGGTGCATGGGGTGATGCAAAACCAACTGAGCCACACCACCCAGGGGTCTTTTCACTACACTTTTAATCAGAAGGACTTCTCCCAATTGATATCTAAAACTATAGTCTACACACTATATAAATTTTCCAACATGAAACAAAATAATCCCTTACACCCTGAAGTGCCTAGGAAGCCAGATGGGACATGTGGTACTAGGGCCAGAATGCAGAGGGGTGTCTTGTCAGTCCCCCCGCCAGGAGTGCCAGGTGGCATCCAGAAGTGCAATGAGCAGTGGCCAGTGGTGGCCCTGGGGAAAGGCCCGGAGACACAGCCCTGGAGGTCAACTTCTGAAGGGAGCCCTTAGGAGGAATGCTCCCTCCTCTTTCCTAGAGTGGATTGGAGGGTCCCTCTGACCACCCCTGACACCTGTTCTGCAAGGACCAAAAGGGACCAAATGGGAAAAAAACGGCAGGATGTGGGACAGTCCCTACCAGCTGCTATAATAGAACGCCATCGACTGGGCGGCTTATAAAGAACAGAAATTCATTCCTCACAGTTCTGAAGGCTGATGTCCGAGATTAAGGTGCCAGCAGATTCCGTGTCTGGTGTGGCTCTGTCTGGTTCACAGGTCATATTCTCGTGGTGGTCTCACAAGTGGGAGGGGAAGCCCTTTTTATAGAGCACAGTCCCATTCCTGAGGGCTCCACCCTCATGACCTAATCATCTTCCAAAGGCCCCACCTCCTAGCATCACTTTGGGAAGTGGGAGGGGCAGGGGAGGAGAGGAAGGGGCCGGAGGGACAGGGACTCTTGGTAGAGACCTAGGGTTGTTGCCTGGGGATGAGGCAGATGCCTGTTAGGATATAACCGTAAAACGATGTGCACAGTGAAGGCATCTGCCCCTGGCATCTCCCTGGGGAGCTCGGCGGTGCAACTCTGAAATGGAGAGGGAGGGGCCAGCTGAGCGGAGCCCTGGGAGCTGCCCCTGGAACCACTTATCTTGGGACGCCTGAATTAGTGAAAACCCAAGAGGCTCAAGGCCCCATTTGAAGGTGGTGGGGAGATTCCTGGAGCTATGACACTCGCTACAGAGAGACTGATCAGGAATGAAAATGGTGTCTCTAGTCCATACTTGCTTAGACTGGTCGAATGAGAAGTTTTAACCAGTTTGGGCCCAGTAGGGGAGAAGTTCCCAACAGGGGCATATTTTGCACATTTAACAAATGCTTGTATAAGCCTCTCTCTGCATTTTTAGTGGAGTTAGCTATTTCAGGGTGGAGAATGGATTTCTAGGGCTGGAACCCGACTTACATCGCTGTGCTGAAGGAAATAAGGTTTGACTTGCCCCCTAGTCCAGAAACCAACAGTTTGGTAGCTGCATTTGTATAAATGCTCCTTCTTGTTTCTCCTATATCGAGCCAGCGACATTTGGGTTCAAAAAAATCAGTTAAAACTTTTTGACTTGCCCGGCGTGGCCCAGCGGTTGAACGTTGACCTGGGATTCAGGCGATCGTGGTTCGATTCCCGGTCAGGGCACACGCCAGGGTTGCGGGCTCCATCCCCAGACAGGGGCGTGCAGGAGGCAGCCGATCAATGACTTTCATCATCGATGTTTCTCTCTCTCTCTCTCCCTCTCCCTTCTCTCCGAAATCAATAAAGATATATTAAAAAACAAAACTTTTTGTCTTGAAAATGGCTCCATGGGAAGAGAATGACGCCTCCTCGGATATTGCATCAGCCACCTTCCACCGCGCGTCCTGCAGGCCTTTGTTTTACACTTCCTGTTTTTCTCTTAGCTGGCCTTTTGGAGGTTTCTAATAAAGGGTAACAACATAGCCCGGCGGCCGCGGCTCAGCGGTTGAACATTGACCTAGGATCCAGGAGACTGCTGTTTGATTCCAGGTCAGGGCACATGCCCGGGCTGTGGGGTGATCCCCAGTAGGGGGCGTGCAGGAGGCAGCTGATCAATGACTCATCATTGATGTTTCTCTTTCTCCCTCTCCCTTCCTCTTTGAAATCATTAAAAAAAAAAAAAAAGTGTAACAACATAGAAGTGGAGCTAAGAAGCCCCTGATCAGGCATGTGGAGAAGGTGATAGAGCCTCTGGTTTCCTTTAGTCTTTCCTCACCTCTCTGTGCATGAAAAGAGCTGAGTCCCAGCCCCCATGCCTGGTGCCAGGGGCTCTCCACCATCTGGTGTGACGTAGAACTTGAACTTGGAATTCTCTAGTGATGCCCTGCTCTCTTTGGCCTTCCACCCTTCCCTTTCCTGGACCACGTCAGCCCACTGATTTCTGGAAGGTAGAATGTATGCTGTGATATCTATGAGGCACAATTTCCATCATGCCTTGCTTTTCATTATCTCCCCAGAATGGCGCCTGATACACAGTAGGAACTCAAATTTTTTTTTAAAGGAGAGTGTTTTTACTTTTTTTTCTTTTTTTAACATATCTTTATTGATTTCAGAGAGAGGAAGGGAGAGGGAGCGATAGAAACATCAATGATGAGTCATTGATGGGCCGCCTCCTGCACGCCCCCGACTGGGGATCGGGTGGCAACCTGGCCATGTGCCCTGACCGGGAACTGAATTTTGGATCCTAGGCTGATGCTCCATGGCTAGGCTACGCTGGCCAAGTCCTAAAGGATATTTTGAATGACTTTTTTTTTTTAATCCTCACACTAGGATATTTTTTCCGTTCCTTTTCAGAGAGAGTGGAAGGGGGGAAGAGAAGAGAGATTGAGAGAGAGAGAATGGCATCGATGCGAGAGAGACACATCGATTGGTTGCCTCCAGCACAAGCCCCCTGCTGGGCGGGGGACTGAGCAGGCAACCCAGGTACGGCTGCCCTCGAGCAGAATCGAACCCGAGACCCTTCAGTCTGCAGGCTGATACTCGAACCACTGAGCCAAACCGGCTAGGGCCTATGTGTTATGTTTTATAACATTACTTTGGAACATTAATGTTATGGTGAATATGCTTGTGAGTCAGTTTATCCTTTGTGAAGGGAATAGGGGCTGTGCAATGAACCTGACAAGCT